TTCATGTTTAACAGGCAGAGCAGAGTAAAAACATTGACTTGATGGTTCCTTGCTGGATCTGCCATAGACAAAGCCTGACCCAGAGAACTTGCCTTTGCAGCTGAGCTGGAAAGAACAAAAAGCCTGTTAAATACCAAGTTTTAAACAGCACCCAAATCTCCAGAAGCAACAGAAAGTTGCTAGGGTATCCCTTGTTTTCCTCAGCTCTTATCTTAAGGAAAAAAAAAAAAGTAGAAATAATGTAATATCATCAAACAGTTGCTCAGCCATTTAATGTTTGAATGTTTACTCTTTCTTGCAGTCACCTTCGACCATTTTGAAATTTTGCGAGCTATTGGGAAGGGCAGCTTTGGAAAAGTAAGTATTTTGTGAACTAATCACCATTTGGACAGCTGGAAATGTAATTGAGAAACGGGTGAATTAGAGGCTCACATGAGAGTAAAGAAATAAACCCCTGCATTGTCAATGAGCTTTGACCTGAGCTTCAACTCCTGGTAATCAAGAAGGAATCGCAGCCTGATTCCTCATCCATTCTGTAGCCACAAATTATATTACAGGAGATTAAAATGAGATACTGATAAATCAAATGAGCTGAATTCCATTATGTTTCTGGATAAGCATTTTCTAAGATTCCCCAGCAAAGCAACACTGAACATCATGATGCATCTTTAATAACGAACTACAATCAACATGAAAGGCCTGGCAGTTTTTTTAAGGGGATATTTCTCTGTGAAACACAGTGTTTGTATTAAGCGTCAGGTTACAGTCATAGGTTGGTTGTATTGTTATGCTGTTATGGAATTCCTCGCTTGTATACGTTGACACAATTCCAGAAGGTCATTGCCTCTTCACATAAAGGCACTCTCATGCCAGAAATGGGGCGTGTCTTAGGTGCAGAGCGCGACAACGATCTCTAGGCAAAGATTTGTTTGGTGGCAAAACAAAAAAGGTTGACTGAAACTTTGCAAGTTCATCCCAAACTCATACACTGTTGTGGAAACAAATCTGAAAAAACAGTATGTTTTGTTTTGCAGTTCTACAAACTCCGAGTCCTTCACTGAAGCAACGTTTCTTTCTAGATTTGATGAAATATAACTGTAAGAAGGGTTAAAATTCAAACCCCCATACCCCTCCCACAAATCCCAAGGTTCTTTGTGAGCTGAATGAAACTCATCAAGAAGGGGGAGATCAGGGGCTGCTCCCCACTTTCTAACCTGCAGTTCTGTGCTGGAAGGGGCACAGTAACTGATGTGGGAGGGATGGACACAACCAAGATTAGCTAGTGCTATTAAATAAAATGTTGACTCGTGTGCGATTCCCTATCTCCTATCTTTGTGGTGATAAATTCCTTCCCCTCACCTTCCCCCCAGCAAAATTTCTTCTTTGGCTGAAAACTGGGTGAGCGATTTACTGGTGATGTCCAGCGTTGCAGCGTCAGTGTATGGAGCCGTGACTTGGCAGTGTGGACTTTGCTAAAGCCACTGGAGAACGCTCATGTGACCGTGTTTTACCTGCCTAAATTTGCTGACAAATCATCTCTGATTTATCCCTTGACTTGCTCACTTAGGTCTGCGTTGTGCAAAAGAACGACACCAAGAAGATGTATGCCATGAAATACATGAATAAACAAAAGTGCGTGGAGCGTAATGAAGTGAGAAACGTTTTCAAGGAGCTGCAGATTATGCAGGGCCTGGAGCACCCCTTCTTAGTTAATTTATGGTAAGATATTGCTCTTTGCGTACTGGCTAAGTCAGCATAGTCAGAGACATCTTTGAGACCAGACTGGCCCGCTCTTCTGCTGCAAGCCGGTTTCGGGAG